GTGTATCTGTGCTTACAGTCCACAGAGAACTCTTTGATGAGTTGGACTGTTACAAAGCCAGGTTATTTGCACCCTTACAAACAATTATATTGACTAATTTGACCATCACAAGGGAGATCAAGAAAATAGTACGCAAAAACTTGATCGAATTGTGAAATTCCTATGGAAGTTGTAAATTTTGATAATATCATCTTGCTAGCGGTGGCCACAAATTAGCTGGTCTACCGTTCCGAGATAGGAAAAGGGGCGCTTTAATAACTGTAGAGGGCCTATCTACGGAAATAACCCACCTAAAATGAGTTATCGGCAAGCGCGATAAGAAAACCAATCTGGCGTCTTAACCCAATATCAGTCATACGAGTGAAATGAATAGAAAACCATAATCTTCAATGCTGTGTAGATTACAGAATTTAAGGCCAAGGTAAAAATGGAAAATGGGAAAGTCGCTGGCCTGCACATTCGAAACTGTGATATAGCTCGTACAAAGCAAGTCGGCATTTTCAGAACAAAATGTTGGTGAGGAAAGATCTGGAAAATTGAGGCAGCCTGGTTAAGATGACACCCCCTTTATCGGATTGACAGTTAAGCTGTAATCAAACATTTTTCCGAGACAGGAAAAGGGGCGCTTTAATGACTGTAGAGGGCCTATCTACGGAAATAACCCACCTAAAATGAGTTATCGACAAGCGCGATAGGAAAACCAATCTGGCGTCTTAACCCAATGTCAGTCATACGAGTGAAATGAATAGAAAACCATAGTCTTCAATGCTGTGTAGATTACAGAATTTAAGGCCAAGGTAAAAATGGAAAATGGGAAAGTCGCTGGCCTGCACATTCGAAACTGTGATATAGCTCGTACAAAGCAAGTCGGCATTTTCAGAACAAAATATTGGTGAGGAAAGATTTCGAAAATTGAGGCAGCCTGGTTAAGATGGGACCCCTTTATTGGATTGACAGTTAAGCTGTAATCAAATATTATTCCGAGACAGGAAAAGGGGCGCTTTAATAACTGTAGAGAGCCTTTCTACGAAAATAACCCATCTAGAATGAACTATTGATAAGCGCAATAAGAAAACTAATCTGGCGTCTTAACCCAATATCAATCATACGAGTGAAATGAATAGAAAACCATATTCTTCAATGCTATGTAGATTACAGAATTTAAGGCCAAGGTAAAAATGGAAAATGGGAAAGTCGCTGGCCTGCACATTCGAAACTGTGATGTAGCTCGTACGAAGCAAGTCGGCATTTTCAGAACAAAATAATGGTGAGGAAAGATCTGGAAATTGAGGCAGCCTGGTTAAGATGACACCCCTTTATTGGATTGACAGTTAAGCTATAATAAAACATCTGATGATCTTTTGTCTCAAATGTTGGCTTATTAGTTGCACTGATTTTGAACAACAGATAGGACTAGAACACCACCCAGACAGAAACTATTTTTAACCTTAGCAGCAAGGCTTTATCGATGTAGAACGATATCGTTTTGCTAATTCAAAACGAAGGCAGTGACTAAAAAATTCACGCAAGGAATTTCAGCCTTCACTCATAAACAAACTTTCCGAACAAGTATAACACCAAACATTCAGCATGCGACAAAGATGCATAATTGAACTAAGTTGGCATTTCTCAGAACCAGGATTGATTTGAAAAAATCTCGGACTGAACTGAGACAGCCTAGTTTAGACGGCACGCCAGTAAAATTGGCTCAACATTCCAGCTGCAAATGAACATCTTTTTATCTTATGCTTCAAAAGGTCTCATATTAGTTGCATTGGCTTCAATTCCAAGTTAGATTTTGAGATTCAAACGAAATAAAGCCAGCAATTCACAGGACGAAATTGCAAGAATCCGTAAACGGAAACGTGGCAGAAACATGTTAAACCGTTCTGGAAACACGACAGATAACCTGTGTTTCCGTTACCGGTTTCGTGACGTTTTCTCGCGTTTCCGTTGCTGCGTATACAACGGAACCGGACCACTTTTTGTGCATGTTAAACATAACGGAAACATGGAGTTGCATGTTTCCGCCACGTTTCAGAAATACGGAAACATGTGATTTCGTCCTGTGCAAGGACTTGCTTTATCCAACAACTGTAAATTGACGCATGGAAAAAACGCAAATAAGTTACTTCCATTTCGACTTAACCTTTTCTATACTCTGCTACCTTTCCTTCTTTTTCAACTTTTTTAGTTCTCGTTTAACAAGAGACGACATCAAATACTCCACTCTCCTCGAAGCCTTTCAGTCGTATTTGTTGCAGGCATTTCTATGTCTTTGGCGCGGAGAATGAACAACTGACCAACAGGGATAGAACAACAGCGGGACGACTGTCTGCTTTTTCTTTTATCCTTAATCATAGAGCCTTACCAGGGTAAGACGATATCGCTTGGCTGATTCTAAACAGAGGCAGCGATTCAACAAGTCACGCAAGCACTTTCACCAAACATTCAGGACGCAATTAAGGTGTCTGCGCACTTGAACTAAGCATTTTTTTAGCAGAGGCTAGCCATCAGTTTCTTAGCATCTATTTTCTGCCATAATAGAATATGCTGAAGCAAAAAGGAGGGCAAGACCAATGAGGACTAAATAAAAGCAACATAGTTTGCCGTTTAGCCGGAAACATCTTCGAGACTCCAGACATTACTTTACATAAGTTGTCGTTGTTCTTTCTCCTTTTTTCCCCCAAAAACCACCATGACAGTTTCTTTCTTTCTACATTCACAACATGCACCAGCCACTCGAACATCTTAATTTCACATGTGTGAAGACAAATTCAAAATGATGCCTATGAGATCTTAACATTAAAGCTATCAACAGACACCTAGGTTTCTAACAGCCCGAGTACACATCAACCCTAACACACGACCGTTGAAAACCAACGAGGTAACCCTGCCTCCTTTTTTAACTAAGCCTCGCCGGGGACCACACCGTAACTTGGCACCCGTGGTGCTAAGACAATTTCTTAGTGCCAAGTTACGGTGTGGTCCACGGCGAGGCTCAGTTAAAAAGGAGGCAAGGTTACCAAGCCGGCCTTCAAAGGTCGTGTGTCAAGGCTGATGTGTACGCGGGCCGTTTGAAACCTGTGAACTGGACATTTTTGAAGCAAACTACGGCTTAGCGTCGGTTGTACAGGGAAGATTGAGTTTGTAGTGAATTGAAATGAAACTACAGTTTGTGCTCGGATTTTGCGTTGGATTTGTGGCCGCCCGGTCATTTTGCGTTGGGATTTTTCGCTTCTCGGATCAGTCGTTCGGAAATGGAGTGTTCAGCCTTGGGCTTTTCTTATGTATGTGGAAAACTTCGAAATGGACAACTCGCTAAAATGGGTTCTTTTCATCAAAGTAGGAGGTCAGATAACAAGTGATACGCTGTGGAAGTAAGGCGAGGTATTTCTATTGAGAGTTTGACGTATTTTTTTATTCCCTAGAGCGGTCGTAAATATTCCCATACAAACTCTTATAATTCCGCCATGACAATTATTGTGCAAGATGATCATCTCACAGCTGGAGCTTGGGCTACCTGTGGTCAAATCATTTCGGATATGTATCTCGCACTTATCAGATCGCCGCATTAGGGCATGTATTTCGCACCGATCAGAGCGTCGTTTTTGTTCTTTGGTTTGAGAGGTGTTCAAATTTTAACGAATTAACACGGGATTCGGAGAGAACGGTCCGTAAAATGGAATCATCAATTAGAATGAAAAATTTTGGCTTTTCTGTGTTTTTAACGTGTACTTTACCGCGCTTTATGAGAAATGCGATACTACTGGACAGATGAAAGACACCAGATTATCTATAGTAAACGTCTTACTCATGCTATGATAATGGTGGGTAGTTGTTCGAGGAAACTGGAGTTCTGTGCACTGTGGCACTGTGTCGATATTTTGCGGACCTATTTTATTGTTGCTAAGTAACAAAAGAACATGCGTAGAGTGAAGACAAACATGTGCTTAGCTTAATAGCTGACTTTGTACATCTTGGCTTGCTGTTGTTTCAAAATACACTTAGTTGAAATTTTAAGACATGGTGGCAGTGGTTAGTGGTTAAACAAGGAAAATTCTGAAATTAAGCCCTTCGGAGAGATTCGATTTGGAAAAATCGAATCTGGCCTGACTGGAAGCACGACGAAACTTCACGAAGAGTACGCTGTGCAAGTCAGTGCTCTCATTTAAACAATGGGAAGAGAAGCCGAACACGTTTTAAAGTCCTTTACCTTAGCGGAGGGAGATGATTCCAAAATCGGCGTGATCTTGGCGAAGGTTGATGAGCATTTCGTTCTAAAACGGAACATAATTCACGAGCGAGCACATTTTCACCAAAGGAATCAAAACCAAGGAGAGACGGTCGAATCGTTCGTACGAGGCCTTTATGAATTAGCTGAACACTGTGATTTTAAGACCAGTCGGGGTCAGCACATACGGGATAGGATTGCCACGGAATCCTCAATAAAAATGTGTATCAGAAGTTGCAGTTGAAGTCGCATTTAACGCTGGAAACCGCGATCCAAATAGCTCATCAGTCAGAAATGGTCAGGTCTCAGGCTACAGATCAGAATTCTCTTGCGTCGAAGGATGTGGTCGAAGTCCGAAGCAAAAAGACGCCAGTGACTACTCTTTGGAGGAAAGGAAAAGATAAAAAAAAGTATTCATCCCAAAAACAAAGTCAAAATAAATGTAACAGATACGGTCTCCATATCTCAAAGCCAGAACAGTGTTAAGCAAAAGATAGGAAGTGTTTGAAATGCCAAAAGGTGGATCATTTTGCAGCTGTAGGTTGGTCCAAGTCTGTGAGCGAAGTAAACAACAGTAGTGGTGGTGGTGCTACAAATGGCAGCAGTATTGATCGTTGGTTCTTAAGTGCATTATAAGCTGATTCGGATCAGGATGGTAAATGGAAGGTTCAGGTCAAGGCGGTAAGCCAGTAGTATTCAAAAGTGATACGGCTGCAGATATTACCGCCATTTCGATGTCTAGTTTGATAGTTTGCCAAATTAGCCCATGTTACATCCCTCCAAGATAGATCTTTTTGGTCCAGGAGGCAGGTTACAGTGTGCTGGACAATTTAAGACAGCAGTGACACATTGTAACAAGAAGTATGAGGTTGATATTTTTGTGATTAGCGGAGATTATGCGAGCAATTTGCTGGGTCGTCAAGCAGCCTGTGAAATGGGTCTAGTTGCGAGATTAGAAGAGGTGGATGCTGAGTTGTCTGGAGATATAGATCTGTTTAAGTGTGAGCCAGTAAAGATTTAATTGGATGAGAATGCTGAACCTTACTGTATCAACGCAGCAAGGAGAATTGCCTTCCCTCTCATGCCAAAGTAAAAGAAGAGCTTAAGCGGATGGAAGAAGCCGGCATCATCGAAAGAGTAACCGGGCCAACAGAATGGTGTGCAACCATGGTACCAGTACAGAAAAGTAATGGGAAGCTTAAGATCTGTGTCGATCTGAGAAAGCTGAATAGTGCTGTGAATCGCGCAAGATTCGTATTGCCTACCTTGGAAGATGTTGCCCCAAAGCTCGTTAGTGCTCAGTACTTTTCCTAGCTTGACACAGCATGTGGATCCTGGCAAATACCCCTACATCCAGATAGTGCTAAGTTGACCACATTGACTCCAGTGGGGCGATTCTGTTTTAAACGACTACCAATTGGAATCATGAGTACCTCAGAAATTTTCCAGTGTCTAATGACGGATATGCTAAGGAATGAAGAAGGTTGTGAAGCAATTATGGATGACGTCATTGTGTTTGGAAGGTCAGCTGAGGAGCATGATGAAAACTTAAATAGAACAAGTCATCAAGGAGTCAGAACTGGAAGAGAAATGTGAGATCAAGAAGGACAGTCTAACCTACTTTGGACATGTCGTCCGTGTAGATGGACTAAGTCCAGACCCTGAAAAGGTGAAAGCGATCACAGAGCTTCAAGCACCAACGAACTACGCAGAGTTATTGGTATGGTAAACTACCTTGGAGGGTTCGTACCGAACTTTGCTACAATAATGCAACCAATAACGATCCGTTAAAGTTCGATAGAACTTGGACTTGGGGACCATCCCAGCGACAGGCATTTGCTAAGTTCAAGCAGATGATTTAAGGTTCTACGGTGCAAGTATTCTATGATCCTAAGCAGCCTACGGCTGTTTGCGCAGATGCTAGTAGTTATGGCATTGGTGAGGTTCTGATCTAAGGCCATGGTGACCAACTCTACCCGGTCGCATTTTGTTCAAGAACACTCACAGAGACTGAGGTCAAATATGCGCAAATTGAGAAGGAGTACCCGGCAGCAGTGTGGACATGTGAGAGATTATCACGTTACCTGGTGGGGCTTTCAACTTTTAAGCCCTTGAAAGATCACAAACCATTAGTACCATTGATTAATCAGAGAGATCTTGACAAGACACCATTACGATGCCAAAGGCTCCTAATGCGCCTAATGCCATTCAACTTAACCATCTAGCAGACCACACACCTAGCCAGAAAATGGTAGTGGCCGATACTCTGTCAAGAAGCCCTCTCGAGTTTGAAGCGGAACCCGATACAGTGGAAGATGTTCGAGCATTCGTAAACTTGGTCGAATCTACAAGCGGATCCTAGAACAGGAGGATCCGTTCCTTACTCTTATGGCCGATCGTGCAACCCCTGTCCCAGCTACAAGAAAGACACCGGTAGAGCTGATCATGGGAAGACAGATACGAACTACCATCCCAAAAATGGTCAAATTCTCACAGCGAAAGCTTACAGACCATGCAGCAGTCAAGAAAGCAGATGTTAAATTGATCCCGTACAGGAATTTCCTGGAAATCACCCTCCCCTATACTTTTACCTCTTTAATACTCTTGTTTTTAGGCTAATTCCATGTCGAAATCCTGATCCGGAAAATAGTTTTTAAATTTTAATTTAGCACGTTCGACACCCTTTTTTGTTAGCGGTGACTTAAGGTGTAAACATGTAGTACTTGTCATCTTCACACTGAATTTATAATCAGGTAATTTATACGAATAGCACGTAGCTCTTTTAAGGGGCAGTACCTTGGGTATGCCCTTTCTTCTCCGAATTGTCTGTTTATTCTGCTGTTATGTAACAGTTTTCGAGGACTTTTTTCTTTTGGCATATCTCCTCAACTTTGATTTTAATTCTGTTAGTAGGTGTATTATAATTTTTATATTGTCAATCTTGTTTCTGTTTTGCCCGAACTTAGCCGTAAGACTAAGAAATTTAAGGAAAAAAGTCACTTTGTAAAGCGTAAACATTGCGAAGGTACGTTCGAAGGCATGCGAACTCCGTTCTGCGTAGCTTAGCGTGATTCGTTTGTTAAGTGTAAAAGCATGACGAAGGTTCAAGGTGTTGACAGCTGAGTAAGCGTCACCTTTATGAGCGGCGACCCACACTTTCGTAGAGAGATCTTAGCCAGTCCCCGTTGTACTAACTTGCGTAGTAAGAGAGAATAAAGAAAAAGACAACAAAACAATAAGTGTTAGAGTTTTTACTTCCAACAATACGCAATGTTAAGAGGTCTTTTTATTGAACAACGATTTTTCTACGAAAGATGGCCGAGTTTTCTCTTTGGTAAAATTTATTTATGGTAAAAATCGTGGTGTGTTACTCTTGGATCGGGTCTTTTGATGTTAGAAGTTTGAACAGTTGCAAGTGTGTTGCAAGGTGGATTTTGTGTCATTATTGGCTGTTGAGAGAAATTATTTGGCTGTTTCGAGGGTAATTTTGAGAACACTGAACGAATGGAAATGTTTTCGATGCCAAGAGAAAGTGGACTTGTGGAGTCGTTCATGTTTGGCTAAGGTCGAGTTCAGATACTATCGTTAGCATGTTTATTTAATTCTGTTGTCTGGAATGAATGATTTACAGAGGCAAGTTAATATGATGTAACCTACTAACGTTGAAAACATATTAAGTCGGAGGAACAGTTTTGGTCTCGTTCCGCATTTTTGTCAACAAAATAAACACATACTGCTTAATTAAAAAGATGATAATACGGACCACGTGCAAAGCTGTCAATTGTTTCTCGAATGTGCGCGTGCTAAATATTCAATAGTAACATCTCATTTACATCTACATCTACTTTTATTTATTAAGTTGGTAAAATCTGTACAGACATCACACCGACAAACTCGCGCGCAAAGTGGGAAGACTATATGAAGGCTTGAAATCATATTAGGAACGGTTTTGATCAAGAAACGAACCAGGAATATTCCACAACAGTGCAAATAATCGTGAAAGCTGTTTAGCCGGAAACATTTTCTAAAATTACAGATATTGCTTTATATAAGTTGCTGTTGTTCTTCCTTTTTTCCCCCAAACCACCGTGACAGTTTCTTTCCTTCTACATCCACAACATGCACCAGCTATTCGAACATCTTAGTTTCACATATATGAAGACAAATTAAAAATGACCCAGATGACATCTTTACATCAAAGCTATCAACAGAGACCAACGATAAGTGTGACTGAAATAGACTGAATTTAAACCGAAAGATTAGATTCTTTCAAAAGTTTGTGAGTTAAGTAAATGTAATTAATTGTGAGGGATTCCCATATGAGCCCGATTAAAAAGCTGGTCATCAAACTCCAGCCAAATGCTTGTGGTGAAGCACATTTAAATTGTTCTCGTCGTGATTGCTGTTTTTGTTTTTTCGTCGCCTCGCAGTTTTTTACGAATGATGTAAATGGAGTACAATCACTTTTCGACCATGCACTCGATGATGAGTGACGAGTCGCCGGACCTCACTAGAAGTTGGCGACTCGATCAATTCCAGACAGCAAAGCCTGCTTTAGATTAACGCGGTGATGAGATTGAAGTTAGGAAGAAGGTATCCTTTCGGGGCAGTTTTAGTGTTTTTGAAGAACTTTACCGAAAGTATTTATCGTTTTCCGGATCATACTAATGATAGGAATCATTATGATAATAGTCTTAATTTACACTCTTAAGTCGTACTCAAGAATAAGTGTCTTAGTGGAAGATGACTTAAAGTGATCAAGTTTCTCCTTGGTGGCGACGATATCGGAAAGAACGCAAATAAATGCAACGACTCTTCATAGCTTGGACGCCATTTTATATTATTTGCGTCAGTAGCTCTTTTGAAACAATAAACATTGTGCTAAGCAACTCTCCGTAACTTTTATCAACAGCTTTTGCCGGCTCTTTCTCGGTTATCGTTATTCTTCCTTTCAGTTCTCATGCTCCTATATTTAGAGTCAGCTGTTTTGCGCAAAATTGCCTTTCAACAGGATATGTCATTTCAATGTGGTAACGCTTACTTGTTTGGATCACTCACGGATCATTAACTTGGAGCTCTTAACCTAATCCTTAATGTTAATTTGACACTCCGTGAAAAATTAGCTTCGTTCACGGATTAATTTATAAATTTTTTTAATTCACAAAAAGAGAGGACTTGACTGCGCTCTGTTCTTTATTTGTTTTATAATAAAGAAGCCGTTAAATTCCCCACGCATTTCTTTCAATTTTCAAAACAAAGTCTATTTCCAAAGCGAACAGCGGTGTCGTCAGCATGCTCTATACTCTCATAAAACACGCTACAATTAGCCAATTAGAATCCCTATTAGAATGGTTCGAATAATCTACTTAGCTGTACGAGTCAAAAGTTGTCAAAAGTTGTCAAAAATGCATTATGCAGTGGTTTACAAACTTAACAATTTGGCAGGTCGAATCCAACGCTTGCCTGAAGTTCTTTAGTCTCTAATATAGAATCTGAAAGTGGAATGTTCAGTGAAATCCGAATTGTGGCTCATAAAAACACGCGAGTTTTTTCACATGACAGTTAGCGAAAAAACTTTTCAAGCGTGTGTTTTATGAATGAACGACAGCCGAATTTACTGGAACATGAAGATTGCTCGGGATAACAGCGCCGTAAAACTCGACTGCAGTGACTGATGTGACCTTCCACTCAACGGATCGGAAAGGGCATCGGCAAGACCAACCGGGATTTTAGTGAAGAGCAAAACAACGTCTTGCCGTTAAAGTTGCAGAGGAGAGACTCAGAGAAGATGCTTCCTTAGGACAAAGAACTTCTTTGCCTGCCTCAAAACCACGCAATTTGCATACAACGGCACTCGCTATCAACAGGTGTTTGGTACAGCAAATCATCTTCAATCAAATTAATGACTTTTCCAAATGAACTTATCAAACTATTCCGCTATTTCAAAGAAAATTGTATAAATAAGCATAAGTAGGTACTCACTTTCCAGTTTTACAAGACTGTGTTTCCTTTCCTGGACAAGCTCTTCCATTACACGAATTGCGCACTTTGATGAATGGGGTCCGCGATTTGGTTGAGATCCCGCATCCAGTACATGCACTCCATGCACTCCAGGAGTAAGCACAGTCGACTGGACAGCACTGCTGTATATTACAGCTTCTCGTTTCGTTCAGCGGGTGTGAAGGACAACTTCCTCCACAAGACTCATGTGAGACTATTTTGCGAATGCGCGTAGTTGTGCCCCCTTTGCAAGTACGGCTGCAAGCGGCCCAAGCACTCCACTGGCTTAACTTACAGTCCGTACGCTTACAGATAAACTGCCGCCTTCTACGACGTCTCCAAGAGTTTGAAGGCGTCAAAATGACAGCGACTACAGCTAACACTAGTACAAGGGTAGCACAACGCGTCATGGCTCGAAAGAAAATTAAGGCGTTTTCTCGAGTGTGTCTTCTCGAAGGTCACCAGTGAACCTAATGAGCCACGTATCTAGTCGCCTTTCAACTTAATATTATAAGTATATAACACCGCTTTGTGTGGTTGACCATAATCAAAACATTATGTAACATCAGTGTTATGTAATGCTGTCAAATTACCTCCCGACATTGCTATTATTCTGACGCGACAACTGTCAATCACGTTAAATATCACGGGCCCAAGTGTACTTGAAAATCTCATGAAATGCAAAGCAGTACAAAAAAAGCATGCACAGAAATTGATACTAAACAAGGC